AAAACTTGTCAACTCGAGAAAAGTCGGCTACCTAGATGGGTCGGCACATCTATGGAAAGCAGAATAAACTGCGCCCTATTATGCTTCTATTTCTCTGACCATAAATCTTCATAGTCCATTGCTCCAACTCATTCACCTTTGCGACTGGCTTTATAAAAACGTGAGCTGTCGTGCAATCAACGTGGAAGAGGTACTGAACATATTCTCGAGATCTTCTACGAGGATTCCCTTCCACCACTTTTTCCAGTTCCTCGTCGTCAACTGCAGAAGGCTTCCCTTGATGTTATTGTCCTGCAAACCCCTCATCACCTAAAAGAATTCTTCCAAGCCTAGATTTACCATACCGCAAGAAACTCGTCCATTTGTGGGCGGGCAGGTGCGGTGTTCGTCCGGGTCGGTATGTTGTAACTTAACAGGGCCTTATAAAGGTACATTCCATCGAAACCACGCAGCGGCTGCTCAGGGTCGCGGAATTCCGTCCTGCCAGGTGCATTAATCCTACTCGTTTAGGGATTTATCATGCTAACTGATTTTAAAGCATTTCTGACGACTATACGGGTATCAGCGATCGATGTGTCTGCTGGAATTGCTACTATTCAGATAGTGAGAAAGTTCAGGATTTCATTACAGTGGTAGCATGTGTCCAGGCTAATTTTCTTAGAACAATCGCATCATAGTGCGTAAGCTTCGTTCTTCGCACACAACGTTCTACTACATGGCTAGCGTTTCCAATTAAGCCCTTATGAGGGCCATTATCACGGCGAAATGAGACGTCACAGATGAGTATTCGTCCACTGATCATGTCTTGGGTACCTACCAATCTTGCATGCCTTCTTTTGAAGTGTTTAAGGGGATCATGGGATTCAAAATGAGTTTCAGCAGGGAGAGCTTGGAGGTAGTGCTAAACTGTCCTATACCTATGCATTCGTATAATAATAGAAAAGGTACTAATTGCAAAGTGCTCAGAAATCAAGTGCACCACAGAAAGAGACAGAGCTCTATGAATCTTCGAATTCGAAAAAGAAGTATTTGTTCAGAAGAGAATCGATAGGTGGAAAACTATGAGGATGGTGTTGATGAATCTCCACTTTTAATAATGAGGCTCTGACGTTTTTGTCCGCATGTACTTGTAACTCGAAACATCTGGATTACGACACCTAGCTCAGACCAGCACAAAACTGCTGGCTGCTTGAAAGGAGCACTTCCGAGCGTAACTAGGAAGGCCCCTTGTGATCCCTGGGCCCCTATCTATAGGGTCGTAGTGAGTACTGAATGCTATTTGGTCTGCGCAGTGAGTTGCATGCTCAGTTCATGTTCACCTCAGTGCTCTTACTCTCCGAGAGAAATCTGGTATTCATTTACCTGCCTCGCAGGGATACGAAAGCCTGCTGACCCAGCGTTGCACGAGCATTCACCATTTTGTAGTGCGACTGAGTTTTAGACAGTTGCTGTGGATGACCTAAGCTAAGTGGTAACCTCGCGTTCATACTTTGCAGTAGCGTCTACCAGCGTCCACTAGCGTTCCGAGCATAGGCAGCGTGAGTGACTAGGAAAGTCTAGGTATCAGTCTAGCATCAGCAAGCGTCTGCCAGGGTCTGCAGCGTTCACCAGCGAGCGGGAGTAGAGAGTATGGGGGGCTAGGAGGGTGGCAAATTGCTGGATTAGGCGTCGTGAAACTGCGGCGTGCGCAACGCACCGCACAGCTGCTAAAGCACAGACTTATGCAAGTTATACGGTTTAGTATAGATGTACGGTGCGGTTGCACACGCTGCAACTACACGACGCCTAATCCAGTTGTTTGGTCCCCTCCTGCTCCCCCATACTCTCTACTCCTGGGCGCTAGTGGACGCTGGTGCACCCTGGTGAACGCTAGATCGATACCTATGCTCTCGAGACTCTTTCAGACGCTGGCAGACGCTGCCGCAAAGTATGAGCGCCAGCATCACTTCCTCTGCCAGCTCCATGTCCTTGCTGACACAGTTGTGTTGGACACTATACGTAGAACTAGCAGGATTGAAAAATCATGTCGAGATTCTCCAAGGTAAGTTCTTTCAGTGCTTCGAAATAAACAAAACGAATTTTATTCGAGCATTCTCTATTTTGCTGCTGCCTGCGCTTGCCCGCCGTCTTCTTTCTTCAGTGGTGCTGTAGGTCCTTCACCGGCTTTCTCAGCTTCAATTTCGCCTTCCTCCCAGTCATATGGGAATTCCTAGAAAATTCTTCTAGAATAAGCTTCGAATCCTGGAGCGAATGTAAAAAGGCTACCTTTTCCCCACTCATCACTATTGCGTTGCCAATAAGACCGTAGATCTCACTATAGTTCGGCTCGTCAGCATACGACAGCTTATCCACTTCCTTCATGATGTCCACAAACTCCACGGGCAACCCTTAAATCCGTTTCCAGTACAAAAACATGGACTTCCGAAGAGAAATGTCTTTTACCGCCTAGAAATTCGCGCAGTCCTAGTCCTGTTCTGACGGATTTCTGATAGTCGAAAATATCCTTGGGGTTCTAAAAAATGTTTTCTCTTTCGAAAGTTACTTGTTATTGGTGGTTCTCACGTAATGATTCTCGTTATTTCGAATGCGCACTAACGAAGATATGTAACATTGCAAAATTAAAAGACGTTCGCTATTCTCTGCAAGTCTCACGTTCATCGTTTTCCCGCTCTAATGCCTCTTTTGTTACTTCCAGTTGACCAATCTCATTAGTGAGCTCACTGTTTTTTTGCCTTAGCGTGTCCTCTAGGCCGTGCAGTTCTTCCCTTTTCATGAAAACTCCTTTCGCATGCTCTTATCAGTGCGGAAGGGGAGCGCGTTGAAAGAAGCGATGTAGGAGCTCACGTACAGATTAACGAAAACTTTCACCTGTGCTGAACAGCTCTGGGATCCTACTAACGTGAGCTATGCCTCACCCTCTGATGTACCCATGGTACTGCTCCTTTGACGAGTTCCACGATCACATATAACCACATTTCCAAATCGTCCATCCGGCTAAGCTCCCGATTCAGGTAAGCATTCCTTGGAGCGTATCTTGAAAAACTCTTCATAAGATCGCTTGTCTGCTAAAAGCACATTTCGCAATTGCATGCCCTAGGTGGAGGAGAGGGCAGGAGGGGGCTAAAAACAAAAGTTCATGTGCTCGTTGGCTCAAAGTCAGTGTGAACACACTGCTTCGTGGGTTCTGGTGCTCGCCGTGTATGGGAGGGAACGGGTCCGATGCAGTGTGGCGTGCCACTTTCGTCGCTAAATACTACACGGGCGTGCGATTGTCAAGTAGCGTTACCCGAGTGCTGGCTCCACACTCCACCCGCATGGCTAGCCACACCTAACCGTAAACAAACGCGCTACTTGTCTGCGCTCTCTCACTTTTGCTTGTTCTGTTACCTGAATGCGTTTTCGCTGCCTGGCCTTGGTATCAACGCAAGTGCTGCATGTTG